GGCGATTTGCTTACCATTCGTGAAAATGTGGGGTGTATGTTGTTGACCATTTTATATTTCTCATCCAAACTCACCCTGTAGGGGGACAGGCCCGACCTAACCCTACAGGCGGATTTTGGGCGAAAAAAGATTGCACAAACAAAAAAACGTTCAAGCATATATATATATATATATACACACAAACACACAAAACCACTAGCAAAATCGTCCCTGACAATTGTTGAAGCTACGTTTGAAGCGTCCTCCTGCAGAGGGACGTGCCCGGTTACACCTCGGGACGGGCGCGGAAACGGCCGTCCGCCGAGACGCTGCCGTCGATTCCTCGAGGATGTAGCTGAGACCCATCGGGAGCGGCCAAGAGGGGGGTGTCCAAGGGGGGGGGTGCAAATCATGACCAGCGGCATGTGCGCGGCCCAGCGGGGGGGCCAGGGACGTAATGAAATAAGAAGAGGCGCAATGAAATCTAGGGAAAAATCATGGCCCACGCCATGATATTTCCACCCTCCCTAGTCATCACCCCCCTCTTTGCCGCCCCCGACAGCAGCAGGGGTCCCTCAAGCTCGACCCCGGGGACGAAGAGCTCCCCAGACGTTCGGCGACAGCCGGACGTCTTGTGAAGACTCTACAGCGCCAGCCCTCTGCACACGAACGCTCTGAGGATGGAGGATGAAGCATCTGGCATCGACCCCTCGAGGATTGAGGAGGGGGGGCGTCAGACGTTGTCGGGAGTCGTTTCGACGCTTCTGGCACTTCTTGCGCATCTGTTCTCGTCGAGCGGACGGGAGCCAAGCGGGCGAATCCAAAGCTCCAGTGTCGGATCCGCGAAGAACGAAGGTCTTCACGTATCCGCCTCCTGAGATCGGCGGCGAGCGAATGGGGAAAGTGAGAAAGAGAAGACCTCCTCAGAAGGCCGCGGGGCTTCCCAGAAGCACTCTGGCCTTCTGAGAAGTTGTCTGTGTCTGCGGGGTTCGGGGTTCGGGGTGACCCGTCCCCCTGAGCGGCTCGCTACATCCGCCCCCTCTTTCGGCCGCGTCCTTGTCCAGCTCCCCCTCTTGCATGGTGGCACAACTTGCCCTAACGGCACCCCCGTTTAGGCCTTTCCGCTGGCGCAGACTTCCCCTGCCTCGCCGCCGACGCGAAAACAGGCCTGGGGACTTCCGAGCCTTCTGAGCAGGCCTTCTCCTTCTCACTGCCCCCCTTCGCTGGCCGCCTCCTGGAGAGGCGGGGGGGAGCACCACCGAACGACGACGAGACGACGGCGGGGCGCCTAGAGACGCCGCTTCTGGCCCTCTTGGAGTTGTTTTTTTTGTATTGCTATCGTTAACTTTTGTTACTGTTAACTATTGACTTACTCGTTTATTGTCTGGTCAATTTCTCTGCCTTGATTGCGCGTTTTTGTTCCGCTCCCTGTGTGGCCCTTTTTGGGTGCTCCGCGGGCCTCCGGGGCACGGGGGAGGGAGGACCCTCTGAGCGCCCCAGGGGCCCGGGGCGGCAGCACACAGCGCATACCTCGGCCGTCGGGGGGCGTGCGGAGCCTCCGACGTCGCCGGGGACCTGCGCTGGCCCGGGTCCGTCCAGACCCGGGCCCGTCGGGCAGGCAGCAGAACTTACCTCGGGCGCTTCGGGATATCCCGGGGCGGCAGCACACAACGCGTACCTCGGCCGTCGGGGGCGTGCGGTGCCTCCGACGTCGTCGGGGACCTACAATGGCCCGGGTCCGTCCAGACCCGGGCCATTCGGGCAGGCAGCAAAACTTACCTCGGGCGCTTCGGGATATCCCGGGGCGGCAGCACACAACGCGTACCTCGGCCGTCGGGGGCGTGCGGTGCCTCCGGCGTCGTCGGAGACGCACTGGCCCTGGGTCCATCCAGTGACGGCGCGCACAGGAGGGCACGCGCGGGCCTTACATCTACAGATAACGCCCGCGCCTTCTGAGAGGCAGGAAGTGCTTCTACGAAACCTTTCCCCCTCCCCCTAACCCCCTCTGCGCGTGGCCGAATCCAGACCTGGACCAGTCGGGCCTTGCAGGCAGCAGTCGAGTAGGGGATCGACTGTAGGATTGCCACCCCTAACTTGATTATCCTTCGAAGGTACATCAAATACATATTATGCTCCGTATATATGGGGCGCATTACGCGAATCCTTCGTGGGCTCGACGAGAAAATCAATTGTGGGGTAAGACGCACTGGCCCGGGTCAATCCCCACCTGGGCCTGGCGGGCCTTGCAAATTGCTGCAAGATCCTGCAGGATCCTGCAGGATCCTGCACCCAGACCCAGGTCAGTGCGCCCCTGGCTCTGCAGGATCGTGAAAGATCCGGCGCTTTGGCTGACCCCCGTTTGCACTGACCCCCCGTCTCTTGGGCCCCGAAGCGTCGTGCTGTGTTGAGTCACAGCGGTTTCTCCTCAGCGTCGGCCCCCGGAGACCCGTTCGGCGCACAGGGGCCATCAAACAGGCACTCGGGATGAAGAGCTCCAGAGGGTCGAGAACCCTTGGGCCCACGGATTAGGGCCAGGGAAGCCAAAAACAACAGAAACAAAATGCTTGTCAACATGAACCCCAAGCAGCGCGCTTCTGTTTGCGCATTATATATATATATATATATATGTATATGTATGTATGTAAGTATGTATGTATGTATGTATGTATGTATGTATGTATGTATGTATGTATGTATGCATGCATGCATGTATGTGTGTATGTATGTATGTATGTATGTATGTATGTATGTATGTATGTATGTGTATGTATGTATGTATGTATGTATGTATGTATGTATGCATGTATGTATGTATGTATGTATGTATGTGTATATGTATACTGCGGTGCGATCAAGGTGATGCAGTCGATGTTGTGCTAGATGCGATGTGCAAACTACGTTGTGCAGCCTAGGTTGCGCAATCTATGTGGAGCAACCAATGTGGCGCAACCGATGTGGTGCAATGAATTCCTGTTCGCACTGACTTGACAACTCCACTGCTCGCGCAATCCTCCCACCCACCAACCCGCAATTTGCTTTGCAAAACCCAGTTGCGGCGGCGGTTGCGATGAGTGTTTGGTGTTGGCTGGTTCTTATATGCGGCAGCGCTAACCCGCGCGCGCTCGCGCGCGCAGCGACCAGCTGCTATGAGTTATGAGTTTGGCGCGACCGATGTGGCCGCGGTGGCGCTGACCGCTGGGCACATTCCAGCGGGCACTTCAGTGCGAGTCGGCGACTTGGGCGGGCGCGGTACCATGGCAACGTCGACGACGGTAGAGCGAGCGTGCACTTCGCCCCATTGTTTCCAATGGATGTTTGCGACAGCATGCGCGAAACGGACGATTTCGACATGCGCGCGCGAAGCCCGTTTGGTTGCTTGTTATGAAAATGTTGAATAACCTTTGGTTGTTGTAAAATTCGCAAGAGCGAGCGCGCAAATTTTGTTTAATCCGTGTTGCGAAACCACGTGCGTGTACATGTTTGTCGGCCACTCGACGTTGACATCCTTCTGATGCCTTAGGTTTCTGAAGGAGTTCGGCATGCGCGCGCGACGACGTGTGCGTGTGCACTTCGTCCTACTTTTTGCGAAAGATTCTTGGAAACTCATTATTCTGGATAAACGAATGTGCGCGCGTAGTATTGTTCGCAGAGGATGGCGGGGGGTGTCGAGACCGGTTGGGCCGGGATGGTATCATAAATGCTTAAGATAAACGGAAAAAACAGGATCACGGACAAATTGCAATACGAAAAAAGGGTGCGGACAACGCAGGGGGGGTAGAATCGAATTCCTTTTAAGACCCAGAAATCCAAACGCGGAAGCAGCGGCAACGTGGCGGCGGCGACGGGCGGCGACGGCGGCAACAAGCGCGGCGACCCACACCCAGGCGCAGAAGCAGCGGACACGAACGGCGGCGACGGCGGCAACAAGCCAGCCGGACTGACACCAGGCCCAGCTCCTCAAGGAACCAGTGAGAGCCTCTAGGGGCAAGCACTGTTCAGGGAACAGCGCGACAATAGCTGTCGGATGCCTGGCTCTGGAGAAGGGAGAGAGAGGGAGAGAGAGAGAGAAAGAGAGAGAGAGAGAGAACAAAAGAGAGAGAGAGAGAGAGAGAAAAAAAAGAGAGAGAGAGAGAGAGAGAGACGGCACCGTCATCGCCGTCGTTGTCGTACTTGTCCGCATCCCCCTGCTCCCCCTCCTCCTCCTTCTCCTCCTCCTCCTCCTCCGCCTTCTCCCCCCCCTGCTGCGACTCCGTCTCCTACTTCCTCCTGCCCATCCGCCCACCCTCCCTCCCTACCCCCCTCCTTCCTCCTCCCTCCTCCCTCCTCCATTTCCCCTCTCATCCCTCCTTCTTGCGCTCCCGCGCGCGCAGGAGGACGAGGAGAAAGAAGGGGGAGGTGGAGGAGCAGCGGATGAGGAGAACGAGAAGAAAGAGGAGGCAGAGGCGGAGGAGGAGGGCGAGGGAGAGGCAAAGAGAGAATAGGGAGACGTGGAAGGAGGGTCCTGAACTTGGCATCCTGGCCATGGCTCATCCAGCAGCAGGGCGAACGTAGAAAGAACACACGGGAAGGAGCTCCTCCCGCCTCTCTTCCTCCAACCCTACCCCCCTCATCATCCCCCTCGTCCTGCTCACACCTCCCCCTGCCTGCCCCCACACGCCACACACAACACGCAGCGTGCTGGCAAGAAGCGCAACACGTGGACTGCAAGCGTGGGTCCGGCGCGACACGCTCGCCAATGCGTGGGCCACCACGTGCCGAGCCAGCACGCAGCAGGTTACGAAGGATTGCAAAAAAAACACGAAGGTTTTTTTTGCAATCCTTCGTTCAGGGTTTTTTTTTGTTTTGTTTTTTTTTGCAATCGGACGTTTTGAACTTTGAACACGGCACGTGTTGCGTCTCAACACGGGCGTATCAGGGCAGCCACCGTCAACCAGTATAGCAAGGATGCGCGAGGAGGATGCTTGGGGCCTCGGACGCCCGTCTCGAAGCTTTTCGAGCGGGGCGCGGCCAGCGGAAGCGGCGAAGGATGAACTGAGGGGGCAAGGATGCAAGGGTACCCCTGGGAAGGTTGCCCATCCTTACTGGGCAGGTTGACTGTACAGGGCAGTTTTTTACCTAACAGCAAAGACTGATAGGTTTCTAGTGGGGTCAAAAGAGAGCATCATGACTCCTCAGGGGGGTCGGGGCGGGACCCGGGGCGGGACCCGGAGCGGCTGCCGTCGAAGCCCAAATCGCTTGGGACATCCTCGCAAAATCGCTCTTGGCGCTGCTAGAACTCCATTCCCGGCGTACATTTTGGATGCCCGGAGCCAACTGTAGGCCACTTCGTGCTCTTCGACTTCCCAGAACTCCATTCCCGGCGTACATTTTGGATGCCCGGAGCCAACTGTAGGCCACTTCGTGGTCTTCGAGTTCCCAGAACTCCATTCCCGGGCCACATTTTGGATGCCCTGAGCCAACTGTAGGCCACTTCGTGCTCTTCGACTTCCCAGAACTCCATTCCCGGGCCACATTTTGAATGCCCGGAGCCAACTGTAGGCCACTTCGTGCTCTTCAAGTTCCCAGAACTCCATTCCTGGGCATGATTTTGAATGCCCGGAGCCAACTGTAGGCCACCTCGTGTTCTTCTAGTTCCCAGAACTCCATTCCTGGGCCACATTTTGAATGCTGAGGCAGGCTGATGCTGCGGCCGAGGCAGGCTGAGGCTGAGGCAGGCTGAGGCTGAGGCCGAGGCTGAAGGCAGACTGAGGCTGAGGCTGAAGCAGACTGAGGCTGAGGCTGAGGCAGGCTGAGGCTGAGGCTGAGGCAGGCTGATGCTGAGGCAGGCTGAGGCTGAGGCTGAGGCTGATGCAGGCTGAGGCTGAGGCAGGCTGAGGCTGAGGCAGAGGCTGAAGGCAGACTGAGGCTGAGGCTGAAGCAGGCTGAGGCTGAGGCTGAGGCAGGCTGAGGCTGAGGCTGAGGCTGAGGCTGAGGCAGGCTGAGGCTGAGGCTGTGACTGCGACTGCCGTTGCCACTGCGACTGTCATCGCGAATGCGACTACGACTGCGAGAACAGCAGAATTCTACAACTGGATTCTCATCTGAATCTGAAGGGGAATGATTCCAGATATGCTCCTACACATCGCTGTTAGGTTGCTTTGCCGGGATAATTTATACATAGGACTTTTAAAAACATAAGAGTTTAATACCTGATTAATGTATGAAAAACATGTGCATGAACTCACCGTTGTTTTCAATACTGAATCCATCCCTGCATGTGTAACACATCATCCGCACGCGGAGCATGTATAAAAAAAACTGCCCTGTAAGCACCACTCCCCTCCCCATTCTCCCCCCCCCTGTCGCTCCCCCGCCCCTCGAGGCGCTGGCTCTCGGGCACACGGCTCCGCCCCGAGCAGCTCCCAAAAAAGCACTCCGACCCCGACGTCGACTCCGGCGACGACTCCGGCGACGACCACGACGGCCCCAGCCACCCCTCGACAGACGCGGCCCGCGCCTGCCTCCAATAGGGGGCCACGTGCGGACCCTACACCCTGCGAAATGCTTAAGAAATCATGGGTTAAGAAATTCATAGTCTCAGAAGTTAATTTAAACCCAGAATTTCTATCAAAATCTTAGGAATTAAATTGAGACATTAAGAATAATCGAGACTCTGGCCGAAAACTTAAGTTTTCTTGAGCATCGCCTAAGGTGTACCCCTACCCCCCACGATTTCTGAGGGGTAGGGCTAGGGTTCGCACGTGGCCCTCTACCCAAGGTTCACGAAGGTCGATCCCCCGGCGGATCGGAGTGTGCGCAGCGATTCGCCTGCGTGGCGGCGCGGATCCCCGCACCTCTTCTTCGGGAAGCGGGGCAAGCCACCCGTCTTCGCGCTTCGCGCTCCGCCACACGCGGTCAGCTTGACGCTTTCGCACGGCACCCCTGGAGGCGTCTGGGCAGGAACGCCTCAAGCACCCAGTCATTTTCGCGCCACCGCGGGTGACCAAGACGACGAAGACGACGACGACGACGACGACGACGACGACGACGACGACGACGACGGCGACGGCGACGGCGACGGCGACGGCGACGGCGACGGCGACGGCGACGGCGACGGCGACGGCGACGGCGGTGGCGACGGCGACGGCGACGGCGACGGCGACGGCGATTTGCGACGGCGAAGACGACGACAACGACAACGACGACGACGACGAAGACGACGACGACGACGACGACAGCGGACGGGGCGGCAGCGGCGGCGGCTGCGGCGGCGGCAGCCTCGACGGCGGCGGCCTCGCGGTGGCGGCGACGGCCGAGATGAACTGCCTGGACCACCGAAGGCGGCCGAGGGACTCTGAAGGCCGTCGAGGGCTGCCGAGGGCCGCGTAGGGCCGCCGAAGGCCGCCAGGGGCGCCAGCTCTGGCACAGGTCCACGCCGAGCCGCTCCGAGGGAGGCCAGCTCTGGCACAGCTCTGGTGCAGGTCCACCCCGAGCACTGCCCTCGCGCCTGCCCTGCGGCTCCGCCACTGGGCTGGCGGCCATCGTGGCTGGCTAATGCGCCGCCCGCGGGGTTTCTTGGAGCCGAGGCGGCGTTGCGGACGAAGAGGACGACGACGACGACGACGACGACGACGACGACGACGACGACGACGAGGCTCCGGCCCTTTCGGGCCAGGGTCTCTCAGACATTGCGAGGAAGTATCGCGCGGGAGCTGTCTTGTTGTTTGGGGGCCTGTTTGGGCGGTACCCCAAAACGCTCGAGCGGGACCCTCTATGTCAAAGGAAATGTAGCTGGCGCCGAGGCGAGAATGCCAGGGCACCTGTAGGGGGTGAATTACAAATCATTAACATCGAACAACCGCAACAACAGCAGCAGCAACAACGGTAAATTTAAGATTGTTCGCCCTTATATGCTCGAGTGTCCAATAACGCGTATTTCCCAAACCCTCGATACCCGCCCTCTTCGTCTTCGATCGAACCCCTTTTGGGGGGTATACCTTTCTTCCCTCAGGCCTGGCCCCGGCAAGCGGCGGGGCGGCCGCGGACCGTCGGCCTGGCCAGCGGCAGCGCTGATCGGCGGGGCGGCCGCGGACCGTCGACCCGACCCCAAGAGGGACGGACAGGGGACCGACCACGACGACGACGACGACGACGACGACGTCGAAGACGACGGAGACGACGACGACGACGACGGTGACGACGAGCGAAAGCGAGAGCGAGAGAGAACGACAGCAGGGCCACGAAGGGCACGAAGTAGGCCACGAAGGGCGACAGGGGGGACACGAAGGGAATGCGTATGGGGCCACAAAGAGCGCGAACGAGCGGGGGCCACGAAGTGCAGATAATGCGGGGCCACAGAAGGCAACTATGGGGCCACTGAGGGACACAAATGGCGACAGCGGGGCCACGAACGGCATGCACATGGAGCCACAACGGGCGCGACTCCTGGGTGTCTGGGTGTCGGGAGCGCGGCGCTTGGGCAAATTGCAGGGCATTCCAACGCAAGGCCATTCTTCAGTAAGTTGCAAGCAAGTCTCCAGCGAGAGCGCGACTCCAGATCGCCGGGAAAGCGATTCCTCAATAAATTGTAAGGAAATCCCAAGCGAGAGCGCGATTCCTGAATAAAATGCGAGGAACTCTCGGGCGGGAGGGGGGGTCCTGGCTAAATTGTAAGGAAGTCTCAAGCGGGAGCCGTTGTTGTTGTAACCCGGGGGCCAAGGGCCCAGTTTGAGCATCAAGACTTTCCCTGTCAAAAAACAGGGTGCGAGCGTCGAGCGGCACATTTTGATTGAGAAAAAACAGTATGCGCCGGGGGGGGATCAACCATAATTATTTTTCAGAAATGAGAATTCAACAGCAGCAGCAACAACAACAATCATTTTACCCTCATGCGCAATGTTTCCACGCGAGTCGTTCCTGTCGTTATTGAACTGGTTCTCGTTGTGGTCCCCGATCTTGTCGGCCTTCTCGCCTTCGCCCTGTCAACCTTTTCCGCCGCTGCGCTTTGCTGTCTGGGTTGGGCCTCTTCCTCCCGTCGAGCTGCGGGCGGGAGAACGCACGCGGCATCTTCAGCACCCTGGCGAAATTGTACTCGAGCTCCGCCTTGATCGTCAGCTTCTGGCCGATGTGTGGTTTCCAGCTGATGCCCGTTACGGCCTCTAGGTTGGTGCTGTGCTTGCACGCCTCTGGACTTGCTAGCACGTAGTCGATGAGCGACGGCTCTGCATCCGCTTTGTAGCCTGTGGGCGCATCTCCTGGTAGCGCGTAGATGCGCGCGTCGTCCAAGAGGCCACAGAAGCCTTCTCGTGCGAATCTTGTCGGGTTGACATTGAAGCCCCCCGCGATAATCCAGGGCGTGCGCAGCGCTTCTGTGAACGCTGCCACCTCAACCAGTCACCTGGCGTTGGCCCATTCTCTGATGGGGCTGGTCGCACCGCAGGTGCAGCGTGATGAGCACCAGACTGCACCCTTTCAGCTGCCATGTCATCGCCGTCAAATCTTCCATTCGCAATTCTCCGAACGCTTCAATTCCTCTGTCTTGATGCTGTACACGGCTGCCAGCAGAAGCCCCCGATACACTGCCATGCGCCGCATACTCTCGCAAACAAAAACTGATGTGTAGCGCGACCTCGCTGCTATCATCACGCCTCCCGTCGAGCCTCTCTCGGACTTGGCCGAAGGCTGCGATGCCGCGAAGCACGCCTTCAAACCCCACTCGTGTAGGATCGTTTCCTTCTCCTCCAGCAGGTGCGGCCGACGGTGCGCCTCCTGGATCAGGCGCGCATCGAACCCCTGCCCACTGTATTCGTTGCCATCGATCCAGAGGTGCTTTTCCTTCAGCCACAACACCACAGCAGGCCCCCACGCGGCGACGTTGCCGACGAAGATACTCCCGGCGCCCGTGTCGGACTTTGGGCTGCGGGCGCCAGGGCGCGGGTGTCAATGCTGGGTGCCAGCGGGCTGCCCGCTCGCTGCGAGCGTCGCCCTGGCCTTGGCAAGCTCCTCCTCCTCCTCCATCACTTGGTCGGGGTTGCCGCCGTCTTCTTGTTCTGGGTCCAACGCTGCAGCTGATTGTCCCGGTGGCGCCGCTGCCGAAGACGCCGCCGCCGATGGGATCGTTGCTTCAGTTTCGTCTGAGATGGCCTTCCTCCTCTTGGCCTCCTGCTTGATCGTCTCCTTGTTTTTGGCGGCGGCCTCCCTGGCGTTGCGGATGTGCTCCTGCAGCTGGCTCGCGCACGACTTCGCACCCTCCTGCAGGTCCTCCAGCACCTTCTTCTTCGCTTCGATGACTTCCTTCCTGGCCATTTCGCCAACCTCCTCATCTACGAGCTCCATCTCCTTGTCTAAGTCGATGATGCCCTCCAGCGCCATCTCTGGCGTCTGGGAGAGCAGCTGGTGCATGAAGCTCTGATGCTGTGTCTCTTTGCCCTCCGAGTGGATCGCCTCCAGGTTTGCCTCCTGCTTCGCTACCTCCGCAGCCTTCTCGCTCATTTTCTCCTCCAGCTCCCGTAGCCACGCTCGCTGCTCCTCACATCTGCGGCCACTGCTGTGAAGCGCTTGTTCGCGATCCTCAGCGCTTCGGCGGCCTCCGCGGGCCTCTCTGGCCTCGACTTCACCTTCGGCGCGTATACCTGCATCTCGATCTGCTTCGCGAAACCTTTCAGCTGGGAGCCGAGCATCCCGCTGTTGGCTAGCTTCATGCAAACCATTTTCTCCGCGATGAACACCAGCGCCTGCGAGAGCTCCTTGGTATCCGCCTTCTGGCCTCCGCGCTTGCGTCCGCCGCCATGATCATTGTAGCCGCGAGCGGACGAGCTCTCGGACTGCTTGATGCTCCAGGGCTTCGTGAGCGCGGCCCTGCAGCATCTGCACTGCAGGCCTGGTCTCCAGTGCTCGTCGATGATCCAGCCCTTGCACTTCCACGTCGCGCAGCAGGTGAAGTCCTTGTGATCGGGCTTGCTCTGCTCGTTGCTCCAAGCATCCCAGGTCTTCGGCGCCATGCTGCCGTGGTGCGACCCCAGGAACTCGCGAGCCTTCGCCAGCGAGAGGAGTCTGCGTGCTGAGGAGCGCCTTCTCCTTTGTTTCCGATGCCACGCAGGCGAGCGGGAGCGCTCCCGCCCTGGCGTGGTTCCGCCGCGCGCGCCCGCCGCGCGCGCGGGGCCGCGGGCTGCGCGCTGGGCGCTCTGGCTCGCCTCGAGCCAGCGCCTGAGGGGGGCTAGGAGCAGAAAACACGTGGTAGAACCTGACGGGCAGATCGGGCGGGGAGACCCTACCAGGCGGGTCAGGAAGGAGGGCCCAGGCGGCCAGGTCGAGCAGGCGGGTTGCTGAAGCGTGCGTCCCGCATGAATCGCGAGGAAGTCTCGTGCGACAGCTCGATTCCCAAATCAAGCGTCAGGAAATCCAAAGCGAGAGCGTGACTCCTGAATGTCGAGGGCGCGCGTCTGAATAAATTGCGAGGGCGTCCCACGCGAGAGCGCGATTCCTGCATAAATTGCGAGGAAGTCCCGCGCGAGAGCGCGATTTGGGAATACACTATGGGGAAGTATCAGGCGCGAGCCGGTGTTAATGTAGCCCGGGGGGCCAACAACCCAGTTTGAGAAGGAAGACTTTCCCTGATAATAGCAGGGTGCGAGCTCCGGGAAGGGCACTTCAGTTCAAAAATGAGTATGTCACCGGAAGGGGGGATCAACAAAACTGATTCTTTAGTAGTGAAAGTTCAATAGCAACAACAGCAACAACATCAAGCAACATCAAGCCACAACAGAAGCAAACGCATCCTCGTCCTCCTCCGCCACCCCGCACCCATCCCTCGGTGCACTCCTTCGCACCCATGGAGCCACGTCGCCGCGCTTCCTGGCGATCGATGTCTCTCTTCATCTTCTGCCGCTCCTGCAAGGCAATGCAGCTTCTTCTTCTTCTTCTTCGCTTCTTCTCTTAAATGGTGGGAGGGAGGAGGAGGAGGAGGAGGAGGAGGAGGAGGAGGAGGATGGGTAGAAATAGGGAGAGGCGAGAAGCGGAGTGAGGAAGACTGGAGGGAGAGCCAGGTGGAAGAAAAAAGGAGGGCCCAAGGAGGGCCGACGCGGGAAGAGGAAGAAGGGAGAATGACGCTTGTCATGTTCTGCTGGATGGGGGGGGGGAAGGACAATAAGAGAGAAAGGGGACCGCGAGTCACCGCTGGGAGCTGTATGCAATCTGACGCGGGAGAGGGCCGCGCCTCTGATGCCAGGCTGCGCGGACTGAGAGGTCGAGAGCAGGCATCAGGGGGGCAAGAGAACAGACTTGCCTCGTGCTCCTCCTCCTCCTCCTCCTCCTCCTCCTCCTCCTCCTCCTCCTCCTTGCACGAGCAGGAAGCAACTGCCCTCCTCCTCCTCCTCCTCCTCCTCCTCCTCTTCCTCCTCCTCCTCCTCCTTGCCCTCCTCATCCCCGAAGCACGTGCCAGACCTTGCGGATCTGTTGGCGCGTGCCTCGGGGAGGAGCTCTCCGGGCGCTGGGCATCAGCCGCACGTGGGCCCTCTGCCCCTGCGGGCCGGGCGGAGGCCGAA